CAGCAGCTGCTCCTGCTGCTGCTGCTGCTGCTGCTGCTGCTGCTGCTGCTGCTGCTGCTCGTGTTGGTTGGGGAGTTGAGCTGCGGTGTAGGTACAGCTGGAGCTGCTGCTCCCACCTTCTTGTCGAGGACATCTTTTATTTTTGCTTTGCATTTTATTTTCATTTCCGGCTGCAGCGGCTGCAGCAGCTGCAGCCGGTGCTCGCCGTGCAGCAGACGCATGGGGTTGAACTCAGGCAGGCCTGCAGCAGCAGCAGCAGCAGCAGCAGCAGCAGCAGCAGCAGCAGTGCGATGAGCTGCTGCCACAGGGACTTGAAGCTGCGGGAGTGCTGGGGCATCTCGGTAAAGAGACCACTGGTCTCCTAGGGGTACAATGGACTCAACAGGATTATTTGTTTGGAGCAGCAAAACAAAACGTGGCAAAGAGAACAGCAGCAGCAGCAGCAGCAGCAGCAGCAGCAGCAGAGGCAGCAGCAGGCAGAGCTCCACCGAGCACCACCGAGCACCAAAAGCGGCAGCTACAGAGAGGCCCGGAAGGAGACAGCTGAAGAAACGAAAAAAGAAATTAACAAACTTCAACAACGAGGAAAGCAGCAGCAGCAACGAAGCCAAGTGAGGCTGCAGCAGCAGCAGCAGCAGAAGCAGCAGAAGCAGCAGCACAGGAGGTTGAAGGAAGACGAAGCAGAAGCAGACTCACAGGCAGCAGCAGAAACAGAACTAAATTCAGAGACACACACAGCAGCAGCAGCAGCACCAGCAGCAGCAGCAGCTGCTGCTGCAGCAGCAGCCGCAGCAACAGCAGCAGCAGCAGCAGCAGCGGGGCGGACCTGGGCACTGGCTGAGGCCGTCGAAGACAGCAGCAACAGACATGAAAGTTGCTGCCATTGTTGGCAGCACTTTAAAACCCTCCGAGTTTCCCTCGTAGCAGTAACAAAGGTCCCCCAAGTCCAGCGGGTCCTGCAGCAGCGCAGCAGCAAACCCCAACTCCCTTCTGCTGCTGCTGCTGCTGCTGCTGCTGCTGCTGCTGCTGCTGTGCTGCTGTGCTGCTGTGCTGCAGTGCTGCTGTGCTGCTCCGCTCCTGTGCTGCTGTGCTGCTCCGCTCCTGTGCTGCTGCGCTGCTCCGTTCCTGTGCTTCTGTGCTGCTGCGCTGCTGCGCTGCTGTGCTGCTGCAGTGTTGCTGCTGCTGTGCTGCTGTGCTGCTGTGGGGCCCATTGATGTCTCCTGTGTCTTCAATTTGGAGTTTTTGGAGCCAAGACCGCCGCATCCACACCCTACACCCTAAACCCTAAACCCTAAACCCTAAACCCTAGCTGCGGATCTGCGGGCTGCTTTTTTCTGCAACTTTCGCGTTTCTTCTCCTCGCCCGCTCGTCTCCTAGTAAAAAAGCAATTAAATAATAAAAACAATTAAATAAATAAATAAATAAATAAATAAATAAATAAATAAATAAATAAATAAATAAATAAATAAATATATTATTTCACCTGACAAGCCCCAGTGCCCAGTGCATACAAAATGCAGTCTCTGGGGGTCACCAGCTTTTCCTCTTCGGCCAGTTCGAAGCCGACGCACTTCTCGCGGATTACCTAAAAATAAAAATAAATAAATAAATAAATAAATAAATAAATAAATAAATAAATAATAAATGAATAAGTAAATAATAAATAGATAAAGTAGTTCATTTATTTGGGTAGTAGGGGGTCGAGAAGTGAGCGGTGGGATTTGAGGGAAGTTGGAAATGAGACATGGACCGAAAATGAGCGAGAATGATTATAAGCTGGCTAGCTAGCTAGCTAGCTAGCTAGCTAGATAGATAGATAGATAGCTAGATAGATAGATAGATAGCTAGCTAGCTTGCTAGCTAGCTAGCTAGCTAGCTAGATGGCTCACAAGCTTGCTAGCTAGCTAGGCAGCTAGCTAGCTAGCTAGATGGCCCACTAGCTAGCTAGCGAGCTAGCCAGGACGCTGGCTAGCCAGCTGGCCAGCCAGCTAGCTAGTTAGATAGCTAGCTGGCTAGTTAGACAGCTAGCTAGGGAGCTAGCTAGGTAGGAAGCTAGCTAGCTAGAAAGCTAGCTAGCTAGCAAGAGAGCAGCGGCAGCAGAATTGAAAGGGGAGGCAAAAATTGAAAAAAAACAAAAAGAAAAAAATAAAGAAAAGGCAAAAGAGGATAAAAGACAAGAAGAAACAAAAAGAAATTAAAAAGAAATTAAAAAGAAACAAAAAGGAAACAAGGAATGATTAAAAAAAGGAGAAAAAAGACAAAAAAGGAATAAATAAAAAGCAAAGAGATGCACAAAAGAAGAAAAAAGAAAAGAGAAAAAACGAAAAAAAGGAGACGCAGCAGCAGCCTCTTCCTGGGACTTGTTTTAGAATTAAAAATGTCTTTTTAATTCTTTTTTAAATTAAAAAATAAAAAGACATTTCATTTAAAATAATTAAAGAAATATAATTCATTAATGGCTAGCCAGCGGAGAAGCAGAAAAAACAAAAGAGAGAAGAACAGCAGTTTGGCTTTTAGGCCAAAGAAGAAATAAATAAAAAGAAAAAATTTAAAAATTTAAAAATTTTAAAGTCAAAATTTAAGAAGATAAAAAAAGAAAAAATAAAATATTATTTGGCTTTCTTTTGTCTCCCTCTTGTCTCGCTGGACTCTGGGCCTGAAAGGCTTTATGAATTAATTTAAAAACGAATTAAATATTTAATTTTTTATTTTAACTTTTTAAATTCTTTTTTTCTTTTTGCAAAAAAGAGACGCGACAAATCCTCACCTTCTCTGGCTTCGGCATTGGAGTGACCTCGGGGGGGGTTGCGGAAAGGGGAAAAAGGGGAAAAAGAATTAAATATTTATTTTAATTAATTATTTTATTTATTTATTTTATTTATTTTAAAAAAGAAAAAGACACAAACACACAGACACTCTCACACCCACAAGGCGAGCACTGCAGCAAGCTCGGGGGCCCCATGCCCGCCGCTGCAGCTCCTTGACTCTTTTTTTCCACTTTTTGCCACTTTTTGGTTCTTTTTTCTTTTTTTGATTATTTATTTTTATTAATTATTATTTTTTATTCATATTTCACTTTGTTAAAATGGTTTATTAGGTTGGATTCGCCTGTATCCCGTAGCCGCGTCACTTGGCTAGCCCTGTCCGCATCTCTTGCTCGCTTTTTTTCTAATTTTCTGCCCTGCACCCCCCTTTTAGTGACTTCTTTACTTTTTTTAATTAAACTAATTATATTTGACTCATTTTTAATCAATTAATTAATTTATTTATTTGATTTCAGCCTGAAATCCCCTCTCTGTTGGCGTGGATGCGCCGCCTCTCTGAGGTGTACATACACCTCGTGTTTATTCGTTCTCGGCGTTGCAGCTCCCCAAATGAGACAATCCTGCTTTATAATATATCATTATTTATCATTCTTTTGGCTATTATTAATTATTGATCATAAAAATGTCAAAAACTTGGCAGGGGGCCCCCTTATCTGCTGCTGGCTGCACTGCCTGAGGCTTCCCAGGTAAGGAAATGAATGGCTGGAGGGCCCCCAGCCGCCGCCAACGCCACGCCACAGAGGGGCCCCCCGGGGGCCCCAGCTAGCTGAGGGTCTGCAGCTTTAAAAGAAGTTAAACAAATAACTCTTGGGGCTTCTGGAGGGGTCCTTTATTATTTAGAGATGTGCTTCAGCTTGTAGGGGCCACGGCTATTTTGCTGCAGCCTCTGCATGCGCCCAAAGCAGCGGAGAAAGCCGCTTTTCTCCCATAAAACCCCAAACCCTAAACCCTAAACCCGAAACCCTAAACCCTAGGCTGTTGTTGGCAGCCGTTTGCTGTTGCCTTTTCCTCTCTGCTGCTGTCCTTGAGCCTCTCCAAATGCCAAGATATTACTGGCTAGGGTTTTGTGGGGCCCTATTTCAAGTCCCAGAACAAATCCTTTTATTCTTTTAAAGAAGATGCGCACTGGCCCTGGGTTCAGGGTTTAGGGTTTGGGGTTTAGGGTCTGTCTGTTCCTTTGTTGCTGCCCTTTGCAGCCTAGGATTTAGGGTTTAGAGTTGGGGTTTAGGGTTTAGATATTGGGGTTTAGGGTTTGGCGTTTGGGGTTAGGGCTTAGAGTTTGGGGTTTAGGGTTTAGAGTTTGGGGGTTAGGGTTTTGGGTTTCTCTGTTCCTTGTTGCTGCGCTGCTGCAGCATTTTTTTCAGGACAGCTTCAGACTGCAGCAATCAGGTGTATGTACATGGCAAGAATTGTAAATGTGGGGTTTTGAGAATATAATTTTCACACAAATAATAATTTTAAAAACCTTAAGTAGACTTTTGAATACAAGTGTTTCATGGGAATATTTGCATGCATATTTATATTTAAAGATGTGCATTTATATTTCTTTGCAGCTGCATAAATATGAAAAAGGATCTTAAAGTTTATTTAGACGTTTAAATGCAGATCTGCACTTGAAGATGGGCATTTATATTACTCTGCAGCTGCATAAATATAAAATATAAAAATGTATTTTAAAGCTTATCTAGATCTGTTCAGCTGTACAGACACAACATGCACTGCCCCTTGGAAGCAGCAGTTCGGAGACAAAAGAATTATTTATTTTAATTATTCATTCATTTGTTTAGCTATTTGTTCGATTATTTATTCAATTGTTTATTTAAATGTTGTAGAGTCGTTTTCAAATAATTGCCAAACTCAGATAGTCGTTGCAGCTGAGGTGTACGTACACTTCATTCAAAATTACAAATACAGCAGACCCTGCAGGCCTGCTTGGGGTGTACGTACACGTCAAGGCAGCTGCATGCGCCAAATCTCGGGTGTACAGACAGCTGCATGCACCAAACTCAAGTGTACAGACATCTGCATGCAGCAGATTCAGGTGTATGTCTGTACACCTGAATCTGATGTCTGTACACCTGAATCTGCTGCATCTGCATGCAGCAGATTGGAGTGTAGAGACAGCTGCATGCAGCAGATTCAAATAGGCAGACATCTGCATGCAACAGATTCAAGTGTACAGACAGCTGGATGCAGCAGATTCAAATAGGCAGACATCTGCATGCACCACATTTAAGTGTACAAACAGCTGCATGCAGCAGATTCAGGTGTACACATAGCTGCATGCTGCGGATTCAGGTGTACACACAGCTGCATGTAGCAGATTCAGGTGTACACACAGCTGCATGCAGCAGATTCAGGTGTACACACAGCTGCATGCAGCAGATTCAGGTGTACAGACAGCTGCATGCAGGCGCATGCAGCCGCTGGAACAGGCATCAAACTGGATCTGTGGCTTCCCGCATCAATTAAATGGACCACTGGGCCCAACAATACAAAAAAGAAATTAAAAACAATGGATTAATTTATATTAATGGAGAACAAGAGTCAAACAGGGGCCTTCAACTCCCAAAGGGGCCCCGGGGGCCCCACCCCAACACCCCCCGCACTGCCACCCGCAGGGGCCCCGAGGCCCGGGGCCCCTCCAGCAACTTTTGAAGTTCCTTTCGAATTAATTTTCTTCTGTCTCTTTTGAGTCTTCGCCAGCCCCTGAACAGCTGCGCCCCCCGCAGCGCCAGCGGGCTCCCCACTTCGTCCAGCTGCGCCCCACGCAAACCGTAAACCCTAAACCCTAAACCCTAAAC